AAAAAAAAGGAATTGTTAACAGTGTACTACGTGAAATAAAATAAGATTTAAAAACATTTACGCTACACAATTCCACTACACGGAAGTCGAAGGACCTAGGGACCTCACAGTCTCAATCTCTTTGGAGATGCCTTATCGTGGTGTAAGGATCCTCTCATGTAGAAAGTTGGGTGGAAACACTCTAATGACTCCTGAGGCTGATAGGTGGATGTGAAGCTCCCCGGGTTAGCCACCTGTCGAGTGGATAAAGGTGGCTACAGAAACTAACCCTACAGCTAAACTTTTCCCAGATGGTCCCACAGGACTGAAAGGGCTAGCGATTTTTACCTATCCCGACAAAAACACTGGTAGGCAAACCATGCCGCCATCAAGGCCGAAGCTATTGTTTCTCGTACTGTATCCGAATCGAGACAAGGAATGTACCGATCTGTTTCTTGAGTGCAACCCTCGGGGGGCTAGGAGGAAAGGCAGACTGAAGAAGTCATGGAGTAGGACTATACAGCAGGAGCATGAGGACTTGGGGATGTCATGGAATCAAGAGAAACGGACTGCACAAAACTGGGTCCGCTGAAAAGCTGTAGCGGAGGACCTATGCTCCGGTCGGAGTGAAGACTATTAAGTCAAGTCACGCTACACGATTAGCTTCAAAAACTCGCCCTACTTTTTAATCTAACCTGAAGTAAAACTAAAACCAACCATATCTCGTTCGCACTCGTTTTCCCATGCTTTGCGTCAGCTACTTGCAATTACTTTGAGTTTTGATTGGTTTATTCTACTGTCTGTGTCCTTTGTGATTGACCAGAGTGACATTTAATTGAAAACTGCTCCATTCCGTCACTCAATAAAGGCCTGGCTAAACTAGAAAAATTAGGAAACTTCGTTGCAGATACACTGTTTCTTGTTCTAGTTACGGCCAAATTAGAGCGAACAAAACAAATATTCTACTGCCCCAGTGGCTACACGAAGAAACATTGTCTCAGAAAACAAAGGCTCAGGCATGCGCATAGTAGACAGACTGCCTTTCGAAGGAGCCTGGGGAAGACTTTAGCATATTACATCGATTTGACAGTAAGCCTCTTCCTTTTTGTCGCTATTTATGCAGTCTTCATGAACTACATCCCATTAATGGGCTCGGTCCTCAAACAGGTTTATTAGTAACTCTGTATCCTCGTCCTTCTAATTCATTTCCTATTTTCCCTTCTATGACCTGCTTCTGCTCTTCTACTTCGACTTCGCCGTCAGCCATTGTTGTACGCCTGCCGTTGCTGGGAAACCTTTTTTAATGGACAGGCTATATTGAGCATAAATTGACTTCCGTCGCTAAAAGGTGAAATTTCATAGCTTTTCAAACAAGAACAATTGTATTCGTACGTAATGTTTCCTTGTAAATATTAACTGTTGTAATTAGCGTCATATTCAACACGCTCAAATATATCTAATATATTGCATATCGACAGGAAAATTGTCGTTGAGTAAACCCGTTCGGCAGGGGTTAAAATAACTCCATTAGCTACCTCACTGCGCTTGACAGGTCAGAAACCAGAATTATCTAGAGCTGAATTGAGACTGAGAATCAAATATCTCATCAGTAATAAATACCTTTAAATAATAACAGCAACGAGGGTTTGTACACAAATTGAAAGTTTAATACTGCTTCAAAACTTTAAAGTTTTTTTTTCCGTAAGTCGTCAAAGTCATGAAGGAATCATTTTCTAAAGAGCTTGCTTTGAGGACGGACGCCCTTGTTTGGATTGAAACAGTTTTGTTAGCTCTCATCAATGTTGTGGCCTTCTTTGGCAATCTCCTTACTTGTTACGCCGTGTACAGAAACCACAGCCTTCGTACGCTTCCCAACATGCTTGTGATAGCGCTTGATGTAAGCGATATTCTCATGTCCATCTTCTGTATGCCTTTTTCAGTTGTAACTCTTTTTCGCGGCCACTGGATTTTTGGTGAGAGTTTTTGTCGTTTTGTCGGTTTTGGAGCATTCACATTTGGATTTGCTTCTCTTCAGACTATGGGATTAATTGCAGTAAGTCGATATTACTGCGTTGTCAAACCGGAAAAGTACGCGGTCTTGTTCAAAAAACAAAGAGCTTTGCTGTACATTGCTGTTGTTTGGTGCGTAGCTCTCGTTGGATCTGTGCCTCCGTTCTTCTTTAACAACTCTGGATTTGAATTCCACCCGGGTGAAGCCATGTGCTTGTATACATTTGAAAGAAACATTACCTACGCTGTCTTTCTTGGGCTCATTTATATTGCAGCACCCTTAACAGTAATTAAAATCTGCTACGCCAAAGTGTTCTGCTCAGTATCGCAATCAAACCGTGTTTTCTCGCTTCAAAACAACTTGCAGCAACTCAGAGCGAACGTGGAAGAAGCAAAAGTTACCAAGACTTTAGCAGCAGTAATGGTCGGTTTTACATGTTGTTGGCTTCCTATCTCTGTCATGGACTACATCGACGTCGCACAAGGGAAATCCACTTTTTCGCGACAAGCTTACCTTACATACGGGTTCTTGATTTACCTTAGTAGCGCCATAAACCCTTTCATATATGGAGTAACAAATAAACAGTTCAGGCGAGAGTACAAAGCTATTTTGAGTCAGATTCTCTGACTTCGGCGCCAAAACGATCACCAGAGTTATCATAAAGCAAAGCCTTCACGCACTTTGTTACAGCTTCGGAGGGGATATACGTACAAGAAACCCACTTGAGCGCAGAGTATTATAATATAAACGTTTTTTTTCTTAATTAACCTTTGCGAACTCGCCGATGTACACCAAAATGTATCTGCAGATAAACCATTTGGGCCAAAAGTTGAGTTTATAACCCGTTTATTCACACCCAAGTCCATCTATCTACATTTTCAGGCGGAGCGGTGAAACTGAATAAAGGAAACTACCATTTACAGCATTTTCAGTAAATTCCGGTTTCGATGCGTAAATGGATATGACTCTTTCTCTGTGTACAGCCCACTAGAAAATTTCCGGGACAAAGAAAAACTACTTTTGTAAGGGTCATACGCGTGCCATTTACCAGTCTGGCCGTTACTAATGAAAATTCATATTCCATGTAAAGTTTTGTATCGTTTACAGCAGCCCCAATCCTTTTGGTTTTCACAGCCTTAGCCTTAATTATCCTCAACGTTTCTTTGTTCTTCCCGTACGGTGATTCCTCACTAAAATTTCCGTAATTTCGTTCTAAATAGTAAACAGCCACTGTTACCTAATGTTCTAATTTTTTCCACATGTTAATCCATTTCACTAGTTGCCATCATGACATGTTCTTGCTTTATGATAAGTTCTTGTCAAACAAGTTTCTGGCAACCATTCTACCGTTACTGAGAATTTGGTTTCCATTAGGGAAGCGAGGAGGACGCAAATTGTAACTTTGCACTTTTTTATACTGCAATTTTGGTTAACAATATTTGCTTCATCAGCTTAAGTGCCTCAAAAGTACCAAGTCTGAATACACTCTTTTTTCATAAAAATATTTATTTACAGCCGAGGCTGAATATTCTTATTTTTCGGCCGATTTTAGGCTGAAAATATTTGTGTGAATATTCTTAGATTACAGCGTATTTCTGGTTTCGAATGTATTTGGTGTCTGGATGGTGTTAAAGTAATTTTGGAGCCAGGCTGCAAGCGTTACAGCCTAAAATGACGCACATAGCTTCTTGCAGATATGTTTTTTTGGTAGTTTTGCCGTTTAGAGAAAGTGAATTTTATATATACTGTTTGGTAAAAAACATATAATTGTATTCTATTTAAAATTTTCAACACGCAAAGCCATATTCTTCTCAAAATCTGAGCCTCGGGTTTATTCTTAAAAATATTTTTACAATCTCGTAAATTTCAGCCTCGATATTCTTGTCAAATATATTCCTGTAAAAAAAAGAGTGTATTGAAAGGGAAAGACACGATTAATTGACCTATGAATGTATGAGCTTATTAACGCTTTCTCTTCCGAGAAATTTTGTAATTTCCGAAAGCCCACATTTCCTTCAATATTAGACCCAAAGAGCTAAAACTTTCACCAATTACTAATTTTCACAGTCTCTTTAATTGTATGGAAACAATTCGCATTTAACTTAATGCTTCTATACGGAAAACATTACATATGTAATTGTAAAGCAAAATGACAGCAACGATGTCGCAATAAATCTTTCGACTTCAGGTTATGATTTCAAGTCATTTCGTTATATTCTTAATCTTCTCTGATCTTTTACACAAAAAGCCTT